CTGAGGGGCAATTTGAAATACAGACAGTGGTCTTGAGAACAACAAAACACACAGTACAATGCTTAACAACAGTATCCAGTATCACACACTGTTGGGTGTAAATCATGGACATTAAGGATCACTGCTAGTTTTAGCTATGTGTGCCTAATAAACTGGCAACAGAGTGTGTGTTTGGACATAATACAGGCCAACAGTTTAAGTGTAGCTGGCTGAGTGATGTTAACAAACAAAGAGCGCCCTCTGCTGCTCGAAACTGTAGCTCTGAAAACACCTGAGAAATAAACGAGAATAAAACAAATAAAACCACCTTCAAGTTAGAGATATAGTTAAGAAAATATAACGTGTTAAGAGAATGGAATTTTTGAGACATAAAGTGTATGAGAAGGAAGATGATAGAAACCACCATCTGCTTTATTATTTACACTGTGGAAAGGTAAAATAATGTTTGCTGATGTTGCTGTTGTGTCTTCATAAAAAGATGACTCAGCTTTATTCAGACTGAAGTATGATAGATGGTCATAAAGTCATCAAAGCACATGTTCTGGCATCATTTTCACAGGAAATGAACGCTGCCTTTGTGACAAACAGCGGAGAAAAAGTACTGTCCAACATGAAAAAAAAAAAAACCCACATTTTTTTACTTGGCTAAAGCCTCCGCTTGAGAAATGCTGTTTCACAATATTTACATAATTTAGAGGATTAATTCATTTGTGATTTATTATTTATAAACCAGATAAAAACTGGGATAATTCAGTAATTCTAAATCATCTCCATCAGATAGATTAAAACAGAATAGACAAAGAACAATAAGATAACAGATAAAAGTCTGGCAGTAATATCGGTCTACAAAATCTATAAATCTGAGTTCAGTTCAATGAGGCGCCCTGTTGCAGACCTCCCCGACGGCCTCCTCCAGCTTCTTCACAGACTCCATCACAAGCCGGAAACTGTCATGGAAGCTGCCGTTACCTTCCTTCACCCAGGCAGCCTGCAGCTCTCTGATCCACGTCAGGATGCCTTCCAGCTGCCTCTGCACCTCCCTCTGCTCCTCCAGCTCAGCTAGCAGGGCCTGTCTGGCACAGACCTCTGCTTCGTAGGCTCTCTGGAGGTCAGCGTGGGACGACTCCAGCCTCAGGGCCTCCTGGATGGAACAGGACCACAGTCAAACCACAGACAGATATATTAGTTCCCTGTTTTCAACAAGTAGAAATAAACCATGTTTGATAATGACTGCACTGTAAGTAAACACACTAACCCTCAATAAACAGGAGCAACTAATGGTGTCACTGTTTCTAAATTATGTTGTAAACCAATCAGCCAAAACATTAAAATCACTGGCTGGTAAAGTGAGTATCATTGGTCATTTCGCTAAAATGCAATGTTCTGCTGGGGAACCTTGAGTCATGGCATTCATGTGATGCCACCTGACACGCTCCACCCACTCAAACACCGTTGCCACACTACAAAAACAGCTCAGGAATGGCCCAAGGCATCAACCTGGCCTCAAGCATTTGTGAGACATGTCAGTGCCACAGAGGTACCCCTGCTCCATGATGGGGTCTCCTTGAATCAGACTTTGCTCTGACCTGTTGAGGCACAGGACCTCTTGTAGGGTGTCTAGCACCAGGGTGTTGGCAGCAGATTCTATGAGTCCTGTTGGTTGTGAGGTGGGGTACCAGCACATCAGATTGGGATCTCTGGAATTTTTACGCCAGGTTGACACCTTGAGCTCTTTGTCATGTCTGTCAAGCCATTCCTGAGGAGTTTTTTAAAATAGTTTATTTGTAGTTTGTGTAGTTTATGTAAAATGAACAAATAATTTAGTAATAGATTTCTACTGACTATTTCACAATAGAAAAAAAAGAAACTGACTGTCAAGAAGGCAAACTCATGTGTCAGTTTCTTTTTTTTTGTTATCTGCTATACGTGCCCTCAATAAGTTCTTGAGGGCACGTATAGCAGATAACATTTGTATTTTAACGTGTGTTCTTCTTTGAACACAGGCGTATACCTGAGGTGGTACGTTGAATCACTCACATGGGCCCGTTCTCTACTTGAGGAAGATTTATACTTGTGTGTCAAATCTACGCTGTAGCCTGACATGCACCTCCCCAGAAATGTAACTACACGTCACGTCGACACGGACCTCCTGTCCATGTTTGCAAGCTGAAAAGCATTTCCCTCTGTGGAAACAAACCTTTTATTTACTTTAATTTCACAGATAAGAAAGAATCATTTGTTAAGACATAAAGCCACCATCAAAAAGTAAGAGTGGTCCCTCCACCCTGTGGGCCCCCGTGCAACCCCACTGCCTGCACTGTCTATATTTACGCCCCTGTATCACACCACACAGATTCATTTGGAAGTGCTTGAGTGTGAACTGTTGTAATTTTTCCCTCTGAAATGTTTAAAACCTGGAGAAGTAACTCAACTCTTTACCTCAGGTTGTTTCAATCTGACGTAAGGGCCTAAATAAAGATTTCTACATTGTCCAGATATTTAGAGTTCATACAGCAGATTATTTATATGCTATATAGATGAAAATGGCTTGTCAGACTCATATGTCATTAAGTCTGTATTACTTTAGGTCATGATAGTGAGCTACACTTGAATACTCCTCCACCCACCTGTAAGTGTTGGGGGTAGTTCCTGTGTGACTGGTCCTCGGGCAGGAGGACATTAGGCGGGATGGAGAAGCAGCGGTCGATCAGCAGTGTTTCCATCCGCTCCGACAGCTTCTTGAACTGCTTCTCCAGAAACTGCTGCAGCTTCCGGCTGCACTCCCGGGCCCGGGTCTGGATCACCTCCTCGGCCCCGTCAGACTTGCCTTTGCTCAGCTGCCTCACACACACCTTCTCCACCACGGGTAAAATGTCGTACAGGGAGTCCCGGAAGGCACTGTAGACCCGTAACATACATGTCTGTGGGGTGAAACCGAAAAACTGTGTCTCGTACAGTTTTAAAGTCGTCAGAGGGAGACCGTCCGCCTCTTCGCCCACCTCTCCGCGGGTATCCATCTCCATCTCTTCCCGGGTTTCCCGCGCCATGTTGAACTGCTGACGTTTATTGTTTTCCTTCTTCTCCTTGTCATCTGTTTTTTTTGGCGTTTGGCAAACAACGACACAGCGCCTTACCGCCACCTACTGGTGTGGAGCGGTACAGCGCGTGGACCCGGAAGCTAAATCTGCTAATAATAATATTATTGTTACAATAAATAGATAAAATATAATGTTGATAAAATAAATAATACAAATAGTATAAAATAATTGACACACAAACACAACAACACAAAAGCACCGCACCTCTCAATTAGATTTGTTTTTTTGTTGTTTTTTCAAAGGCATTTGAATTTTACAGTCAGATTTGTGGATATAATTTATTATTATTAATTTGATCAAGTTCATGGTCACTTTTTTTTTTTAACCAGAGGCTTTTAGAGGGATAAAAGACTTGAAAGGGTGGAAACCAATGTGGAAAAATATATATTTCTCCATCCTATACATTTTGATAATTAAATTAAATTTGGGGTTTTCATATAGAACAAAGATTAGGGATACTATGTAGCAACGTTGGATCTCTTACTGTCTTTTAATCCTTTTTGTCATTTTGTGGCACTCAACACTCTAATATTATTATACACATATGAAGATCACATACACTACATATGCTATCATATGTATATCTACTGTCATATGCTATTATTCATATTTCTATTATTAATGTTATAGTTTTGATTGTTGCTGTGCATCTCTCCTTCTGCAACTGCCCCACCTGAAGTTTCTACCATCTTTTTCCGTTAAAGGTTTTATCTTGGGGGAAGATTTTCCTTATCCACTGTGAGGGTCCACAGACAGTGGTATGTCATATGTTATAAAACCCACTGAGGCAAATTGTGATTTGTTATATCAAGTTCTATAAATAAAACTGAATTGAAATTTGAAACAACAAAGCCATTTGCTACTGAGGATAAAAAGAGGTCACAAACATTTTTTTTAATTATTTAAAAATGGCTAGGCAGCTGGGTATTATAGTTTATAACCACCATCACTAACAAGAATAAATAGTGCATTTGTTAAGGACTGCTTTTAGCTGTGCTCATGAGTCTTAAGCCATACGAGCATACTGTATGTGGAACTCACCCAGAATATAAATTGCAGTGCCCATGTTCATCATAATGTAGAAACATGCCACCTGTTTCAATTGTGTCACTCAGCTGAAAAACTACTTGCTTGGCTTGAAGATTTGCTCAGCTTGTCTGTATTGATAGATTTTGTGCCTAAACTAGCGACTATATATTGTATTGTCATATGATCAAATAGAGACTTGACATACAGTAATCTTATTTTCTGTTTTGAATATTTGAAAACATCAGTATATTCATATTACCCAGCAATCATCAGTGCATATCTGTACATGACAAAAATACCAAGAAAATAAAAATATTTTAATTTAATAAAATAGTTTTAGTAATGTATTTATAGTATTTATAGTTAATGTATAATGGGCATATAATTTTGTTATAGATTGCTACTGACCATTATAACAAAAAGAACAAAAAAAAAGAAACCCCTGACAGAGATGGGTTTTGCTTTTCAGGGGCTTAAATAGCAAATGGCACAATTTAACATTTATTGTTAGTTATTCTTTGACCACTGGTATTCCTTATGTGGAAATTTGAATTACTAGTAAAAAGCCTGCTTTTCATCACATACTTTGTTGGGGGACTCTCAACTGGCCACAAGAGTACCTGCACCGATCAGTGCAACGTTGATCTTGGTTGATTAAAAAAAAAAAAAGTAGCCTATTCATTTTTTTATTTTGTTTGTTTTATTTTGACTATTCGTATTTTGTCCAACGCCTGTATGTTTGGTGTTTAATTGATGATTCGTTCATAAAAAAAAAAAAAAAAAAAAAAAAAAAAAAAAGGGGGGGGGGGGGGGGAACTTGACATCGTGACGTGTGACGTACGTTTCAGATACGCCCCCTTGTTGGAACGAAAGGGACATGCGCGCGCGCTTACTTCCTCCTCAGCTCCTGCTTCTTTTGGTCTGTCTGTGTTGATAGCGGCTTTTGCTTCCACACGTGCAATCTTTTCTATGTGAAGCTCTCTCGTTGGGACCCGTTCATCAGCTCATCCTGCTCTGTCACAATAGGTAAGCTAACCGTCGGCGCCGACTGTTTGATGTGTCCGCAACTGCGCAGCCGCTTGCATGGCGGGGGCAGAGGTTAGGGCTGGAAGTTTAGCCGGGTTCGCTCCAGTTAGCATGGTGATGGTAGCTAGCTAATGCGTCTACTTTTTGTTGTGGTGGCGCTAATGTTAGCTAGCTAGCAACCGTAACTAGCTAGGCTGGTAAACGCAGTTCAAGTGTGACAAATGCGTTGTGTTATACGTGTGTGTCTTTTTATGTGAAGCTAAACTGCGTTGTTTCCTTCCAGGTGTAAAGCCATAGAAACCAACAACCATGGGGGCTTATCTGTCGCAACCTAACACGACCAAGACCTCTTTCGATGGCGGCAACAGCAACATGAGCTACGGTTTCTCTGCCATGCAGGGCTGGCGCGTCTCCATGGAGGTGAGGCGGAAAATGAATGACCGGATCAGAGACAACCATGTTGCCGCTACTTAAACACAAAGAATTGAAATCTGTCTCTTTTTGTTAATGGCGGGTTGAAGGGACGTGAGGCATTTCTCTGTGTAGGTTTGTTTGTATAGGGCCGGTAAACACTGCTCTCCTACTAGCTTCTCCCTGAATACCAACTGCACTGATGGATGCAGTCCATAAATCATCCTCACGGTGTTGTTGGTATGCTGATCTACATTGTAATCACTCTCCCACAACATTCAACAGTATGTAATTGTAGTCTGCTGTTTGACTCATGTCTGAAAGTACCAAAGTGTAGCTGACAGCATTTGGAGATCCTGTGTCTCTGTCTCATTTGGTTAAAGGGGAACACCACCTAAATTAGGAATACTATTTCCATGCCCTATGAAAGTTCAATTAATACCTGTGAACATGAGCTAATCTCTCTCAAAGCCAGAAATCACAGAAGTCTCAAACTTGTGATGTCATGGGGTGTAAGGTCTGGAGCTGCTCCATAAATTATGATTGGGGGACTGATTTTGTGGACATACAGAACATTTGTTCTCTTTTTTTTATACCTAAATGACCTTTAATCTATTGCAGTATTTTCAGTCCTGAAATAGAAACTGTACCCATACACTCGGAGCATTCCCCTGGGTGCTCTCAGTGTCACATAGAACATCTTTCACAGTTCACTGTCTGTGGAGCAGCTCCAGACTTTATATCCTATGACATCACAAAGTTAAGTTTCAGCACTCTAGTTTTGGGATGGGGCAGAGTTATTCATGTTTACTAATATTTTTAGACTGTCTTAGACTAGAGGAACAACATTTATGAATTTTGAAAGTGACTGAAGTTTCCCTTTTTAAGTGACTTTTGATGAGAAAAACAGCTAAGTAGCAGTAATACACCAGCTGCCAACTAAATAACAAGGAAAACTGATTAGTAAATACTACAGCTGGGAATTGCCAGAGGACCTATGATACGATATTATTGCGATGTTGTGATAAAATATATTGCAATCTCTCACCTTTTTTTCCAACTGCAAATTATCTCCCCACAGGAAAACTTTGTCAACATCAGGTTTACCTCATGAGACACACTTTAAATAATTTTTATTGCCACAAAATGTAATGTAAAGCAGACAGACTGACCAACACCGTCATAAAACTTGTCAGAAATGCTGTATACACCTGACAAACTGAACTGCTGGCAGATATAACGCCCTCTGCGAGGCCAGATTAAGTGCAAATGAAACACTTCACTTGCAGGTATCCCGCTCACTGAATGACAACACCCATGGTGGAAGCGTTGTCTGTTACATTCTTGTGCTGCAGTGTTTGCTCCGGTGTGACTTTTGTGTGCTGCTCTAGTCGCAGTTGCCAGTCCTCTGTGAGATAATGCGAAAAAGCAATTGATGTTATTATTCTAGTACCAACGTTGCATTAAAATGTGTATTTGCAAAAATGTATAATGTATGTAATAAAAGATCAATACTTACCATTCGTGTATCGATACAGTATCGCCATGCAAAATATTGTAAGAGTACTGTATCAGTTTTTTCTCTCACCCCTAGTGAACACATGCATGTGAGTAATTCAGTTAAATGACATGTGCAGACATGTTCAATCCTGTATGCACATGAACAGAAACTTTGTTGACTGATTAAGAGAGCTGATTAATATATATTTAAACTATCTGATGGTGAAAAAACTGTGTAGATGTCTACATCTTTTCTGTAGTCATTGTTTTCCTTCTGACTCACGTGTCCTATATGTACAGATTGCTTTTTTATTATCAAGAGCGTAATTCTGGTTGTTGTGATTTATACCAATTTGTAAGCTGTCATGTCGGTATTGTAATGTGTATTTTTGTGTGTGTGTTGTCCCACAGGATGCTCACAACTGTATCCCAGAGTTTGATGAGGAGACAGCCATGTTTTCTGTGTATGATGGACATGGAGGTAACACACTTTCACATACTGTATAACTACTGTCTTCTATTTATATTATTTTGCAGGGTACATTAAGGCATCAAACTCTTAAACAGCAGTGTTTTGTGACATAGTCAAATCTTAACCTAATCTAATGTTGAAAATGCATGCAGACATTACCCATAAATCTTTTATTAAAAGCAACAGTTTCTCTCTTTCCCCTTTTTACTGTTTGTTTTACACACCTCTTTGAGTATGTATTCACACACCTATCCTGAGAATTTATATAACCCGCTGTTCCCATTTAGGTGAGGAGGTGGCTCTGTACTGTTCAAAGTACCTTCCTGACATCATCAAGGAGCAGAAGACCTACAAAGACGGCAAACTGCAAAAGGTGAGAAGCCACAGAAACCAAAGCACGACCTGTCTTTTGACGTCTTTACAACCAGAGGCCTGCTGTTTGACTGCGGCATAGTTACAAATTAAATGGGATGAGAGGTAATATATATATTGTGGTCACGGTTTGTCCTCTGTTCCACAATACTGACACATTTAAAACACTATGAGCAGACCTACAACATTAATGTCGTCAATCTTGAACCCAGTATTACACTGTGACTCTTGGCTTCAACCGACACACCTTTTTGTGTGATGTTTCCAGGCTCTGGAGGATGCCTTCTTGGCCATCGACAGCAGAATGACCTCAGAGGAAGTCATCAAGGAGCTGATCCAGATCGCTGGACGGCCCACTGAGGAGCCTCCTGTTGAAAAGGTGGCAGAGGAGGACGATTGTGAGTATGCCCCTAACAATGACATTTATGTGGTTTTGTTTGGTGTGTTTTTGCGCTGTAAGGAACATGTAACAAAGCTCAAAATAGTAATGGAGAATCTACAATATTGACATCCAGCAAAATGCAGTAAACCAAGAACAATATAAGTATGACCGTAATTATTAAGGAAAATGCCACAAACACAATCAAGGGCATGAAAATGAGACACAAACCACAAGAACACAGGAAAAACAAGACACCCTGAAGTGCATGGATGTTCACTGGTGGTAGATTAAAAACACTGACATCAAAACCTAATTATAATGACAGCATCCAAATGTTTCCATGTTTCCGCCCTCCTTTCAGTGGACACAGAGGAGGCAGCTTTGCTCCACGAGGAAGCCACAATGACCATAGAGGAGCTGCTGGTGCGCTATGGCCAGAACCTCAATGCTGTCAAGCACGCAGCTGCTCTCAGGTAGTCAGACACTTTTATTCTAGCGCTAATATGGCAATGAAGAAATATTTTGAGCCTTACAGTGAGATGGGGACTTGAACTTCCTGGAAATGTTACTTTATGATAAATGATGCAGTGGTGACCTCATGCAAGTCAGTCCGTACATTAATAAATCCATTATGTCTCACCACACCTGTTGAACAGGAATCAGATCACTTAAGGAAGTAATGATAGAATTACGTGGCAACTTTGTTGTTCATATTTTTGATATTTAAAGCTTTGGACAAGTTTGTATGTTTGAATTCACTGAATTGGGATGTTAAGACACTAATAAGAACTGAAAACTTCTTTCACGGACAGAATCATCTATACTCAGTCCACCAGAAACCTCTTTCTTGGCGTAAAGGAGTACTTTACCAACAAAATGATCATTTGTGTATCAATTACATACCCTGTGTTACCTTAAATTCATAAGAAAAACTTTCTTCTACTCACATGCCTCCACTGAGAATCCAAAAAAGTGAATGTAAATGAAATGAAAGCAAAACTATATCAAAACATCTCTTTAAAAACTCTCGCACAACTTGTGCAGTATAATCCAAGTCTCATTTATCTAGTCTTGTGCTCAGTACTTTCCAAACACATGTATTTTCGCCAGAACACGTCAGTCAGGGCTGCCCACTGAAAGTTGGAGATTTAAATCAAACCCATCAGTCCTTGTTTTAAAGCTGCTCTTCAGTGCAGGTAGTTGTGGTCACAGAGGTTAGCTGCCAGGAGGAAGAGAGGCTTTGCCACATCAAGCTCCAAGATAATGTTATCTTCTTCCTTCTGCTTAGAATTGGTGAATTTATATCTCAGAGCAATTTATTTGTTGCACACTTACGAGTCGTAGTTAGCACAGTAAGCTTGTTTGCTATATGACATGAGAGTCACTGTCACATTTAAAGTCCCGCTGAATACTGTTAGTCTATATGGGGAAAAAGGAATGAATAGCCAAATATTCATATTGAACAGCCAAATCAGATTCGACTGACACAATCCTGAATCAGGTACAGCCCTGATTTTGATTAAGTGTTGCTGTTGTTAAACGCCAACTCTGATTACTTCAATTCATGAAGAATGTTCACCTTTTCTGGATTCTCTGTTCACTGTGGAGGCATGCAAAAAAAAAAAAAACAATTTTCTCCAGGAATTCAAGGTGACACAAGGTGACTAATTGAAATCATTTTGAGGATGAAGTATTCTTTTAAGTAGCTAGTGCAGTTGTCTTTGATTGTTGTGTAAAACAACAGCAGTTAAAAGTTTAAGACTCTTGAACTTCGCTCCTCTTTATTTCCACTTTGTGTTTTGTTCTCAGTGCGGCTGCCAAGAAGGCTGCCAGCTCGCAGCCTGAGGCCTCGGCAGACAAAGGGGAAGGTGGGAAAGGACAGAAGGACGGAGTAAATGGAGATGTGGAGGAAGAGAGCAACGGAAAGGCAAAGGAAGCAGAAGGAGTGGCCTGTGGGTCTAAGCTGCGAGCCTGTCGGAGAACAGGAGGCGGTGAAGGCAGTGGTTCAGGTACGGAGCTGGGATTCAGGGGTCTTTAGCACGTAATGTTCCTGTCTTCAAAAAGATGACACAATGTGAAAAAGATTCTTAGGTTAATGTTCTAGTTTAAAACTAATTTAGATATTGTAATGAGTATCCTTTCATGTGAAAATGGAAAAAACTCTGCCTGCTCAGATACTGAAAATTACTGAAGATTACTTTTGCTTTAAAGATAATCTTAAAGTGATTAGAAAGGCTTCATGAGTACATGAAAATCATAATCTGAGCACTTATCAAACTCCTTTACTCTCCTGTTCAGTTGTTTTCACTCTCTAGTTTTCATGTCCAACGCCTCATGTTGCCCTTGTGTCTCCCCCACAGCAGCTGACTGTGGAGGGTCAGGAAGCTCCAATGGAGAGGAAAAGGCTGGTAAAGCCGAGGGAGACGCAGGTCCCTCCTGCTCCTCTCTGTCCTCCAAGGCTGCAGGAGATTCCAAGTCAAGGTTTTTTGATGACAGCGAGGAGTCTGAGGAGGGAGAGGAGGAGGAGGAGGGCAGTGATGAAGAGGTGAGAGCAGGATACTAGAATAAACCGTGAAAGCTCATTTACTCAAATGACTTTGAAAAGCAGTGTAATTGTGGCATTGTAACCATTGTCTTGTTTTGTTGTTGTTAAAATTAGGATGGCAGTGAGGAGGAAGAGGGTGACAGCAGTGAGATGGATGAAGAGGAGGATACAGAGGAGGGAGAGGAAGACTCAGAAGATGAAGAGGAGGAGGAAATGTGCCTACCTGGAATGGACGGCAAGGAGGAGGTGTGTATGTCTAATGCAACTGACAAATAACAGTGCAACTGTGATACAGATTTCTACATGCAGTACAGATGACTTATCCTGCCTAATGTTGGGGGTAAAGGTGGGGTCGGGTACCAAACTCTTACTTTTGAGGGTACCAACCAAATTGTGTTGATACTACAGAGCACCCATTCACATTAAATTAATCAGTGCCAAATGTTGGTACCTAAGAGGCTACATGGGTGAGAACAGGACGTGCAAACAGGCACCATGAACTACCTTCAAGCCAGGAAGCCACTTGCAGAATTCCATTGCTGGCTTCCTGGCTTCAGAGCACTTAGTGGCAGAGACAACAAAGCTCCATGGAGCTGCTGTGTGCAGAAAGGAGACGAAAGCACTAAGTGTACCGAAGCTGGGAAGCCAGTCACAGAGCTCCGTCGACTTTTCAGCAAGCCGATACTATCAGTGCAGCGCAGATAGTTTCAGTCTGTCTGGTCTATTTTTCCTTTTCTATTTTTTTTTTTTTTAAGAAATAGCTCAGTATCACCGCTGTTTGTGATTGTGTTTGTAAATTCTGTACTTATTCCACATGTGTCAGTTGTGTCTTAACAGAGATCCCCCAAAAAATTAACCAAGATTTTTGCTTGTCACTTTTGAGAGCTGTCCAACTCAGCAGTCGTTAGTTTTTCACCATTTAAAGAGCTTCGCTGTAATTTCCAGTTATGAAGCCAGCGAACAGCTTGCAGTGTGTTGGATTGCCTCATCGCTGTAGAAGCCAAGTTTAGTGATTTGTGATGACTTTGTGTAAATGAAGGTGGCTGCCTGAAATTCTTTTCTCTGCAGAAAAATATCTAGAAGCTTTACAGTAGACTGTTTCAGTCATGGGGTAACATTATTTAGTGGAAACTTACAAATGATTCACATGATTTGTATTTTACTGAAAGATGACTTTGTCTTTTGATAGTGTAAAACGTCATGGGGGTTTTAACACTGTCACATCTCCCGTGTTCATGTGTTTGCAGCCTGGCTCAGACAGCGGCACCACAGCTGTCGTGGCTCTGATCCGAGGGAAACAGCTGATCGTGGCCAATGCTGGAGACTCCCGCTGCGTGGTGTCTGAGCGAGGTGGGTCCAAACCATTTGGTGCTTATTTACCTTGATAGAAGTGTTTGTATGATTTAAAAATGTGCCTAGAATCAAGATGTCTACCAATTTAACTCTTCTATATGTGTCTACAACCCCCCACCCACATACCAAGAGAATATAATGTTGTGTGTTAGTGCTGCTGTTACAGTTAACAAGCTTATGAAGAGTTACTAAACAGACTGGTTATAGTATTATGTCATGTCAGGCTGACTGCCATCAGCCTATCAGCAAAGACAACATGACATTCACTGATGGTATTGGCCGATGTTTTTCTGTTGTATTAAATGTAAACGCTCTGTTACTTTGTCGCTGTAGGCAAAGCAGTCGACATGTCGTACGACCACAAGCCAGAGGACGAGGTGGAACTAGCTCGCATCAAAAACGCTGGAGGCAAAGTGACCATGGATGGACGGGTCAACGGTGGACTGAACCTCTCCAGAGCTATTGGTATGGCTGACTTCTGTGTGTGTGACTTTGAGATTAGTCTTGTAAGCACTTAAATTTATTGCATCAGATTGGCATTTAATAGCAGCGCTTCGTCACTGATCATTGTTTTTCTGTTTTGGGTTCAACTCAGCTATTTAAAATGTGTGTACAATCCCATCCTCTGAGAAGACCACTTCTGCAGGAAGTACGAGTTTAAGAATGAGTTTCTCTCAACAGTCTGCTAACTTGGTCTCTGACTCTCAGGTGACCACTTCTATAAGAGGAACAAGTCTCTGCCTCCAGAGGAACAGATGATTTCTGCGATGCCAGACGTCAAAGTTCTGACGCTTAACGAGGATCATGAATTCATGGTCATTGCCTGCGACGGCATATGGTGAGTTTGAGTGGTCATTGATGGTTTGTCTGCATAATTGCCATGGTAATGTCATGAGGTTGTTTTTCCTTTGACTCCACATTTACTTTATAATTTACTTGTTGATTTTATATTACTATATTTAGGTATACTCTGCCGTCCTTAAGAATCAATTTGTGAGCCCTGTTTGTATATGTGTGTGTGCAGGAATGTGTTGAGCAGTCAGGAGGTGGTGGACTTCATCAACGAGAGGATCAAACCGGACCAGAATGGCAAAGTCAGACGCCTCTCATCCATAGTGGAAGAGGTGAGAAAAAGCTCCTGTTACACACTTCTATCCACCATATACAGTCAGGTCCATAATTATTTGGACAGTGATACAGTTGTCATCATTTTGGCTCTGTACACCACCACAATGGGTTTTAAATGAAACAATGAATACGTGCTTAAAGTGCAGACTCTCAGCTTTCATTTAAGGCTTTTTTTAAAAATGTAGTATGAACCGTGTAGGAATGACAACCATTTCTTCACACAGTCCCCCAACTTTAAGGGCTCATAAGTATTTGGACAAACTAACATAATCATCAATTAAACAGTCAGTTTTAGTACTTGGTTGCAAATCCTTTACAGTCAATGACTGCCTCAAGTGTTGGACACATAGGCATCATCAGATGCTGGGTTTCTTCCCTGGTGATGCTCTGCCAGCCCTTTACTGTAGCCGTCTGCACTTCCTGCTTGTGTTTTGGGTGTTTTGCCCTCAGTTTTGGCTTCAGCAAGAGAAACGCATGCTCAATTGGATTCAGGTCAGATGATATGACTTGGCCATTGCAGAACATTCCAATTCTTTGCCTTAAAAATGTCTTTGGTTGCTTTTGCAGTATGCTTCAGGTCAATGTCCATCTGCACTGTGAAGCATCGTCCAATGAGTTTTGAAACATTTAGTTGAATCTGAGCAGATAATGTAGCCCCAAACACTTCAGCTTTCATCCTGCTGCTCTTGTCAGCAGTCACATCATCAATAAATACAAGAGAACCAGTTCCACTGGCAGCCATACATGGCCATGACATAACAGTACCTCCACCATGCTTCACTGATGAGGTGGTGTGCTTTGGATCATGAGCAGTTCCTTCCCTTCTTCCTTCTCTTGTCTTCCCATCATTCTGGTAGTTGATCTTTGTTTTATCTGTCCATAGTATGCTGTTCCACAACTGTACAGGCTTTTTAGATGGTTTTTGACAAACTCTAATCTGGCCTTCCATTTTTAAGGCTAACCAATGGTTTGCATCTTGTGATAAACCCTCTGTATTTATTCTAGTGAAGTCTTGTCTTGCTGACAAGAGCAGCAGGATGAAAGCTGAAGTGTTTGGGGCTACATTATCTGCTCAGATTCAACTAAATGTTTCAAAACTCATTGGATGATGCTTCACAGTGCAGTTGGACATTGACCTGAAGCATACTGCAAAAGCAACCAAAGACATTTTTAAGGCAAAGAAGTGGAATGTTCTGCAATGGCCAAGTCATATCATCTGACCTGAATCCAATTGAGCATGCGTTTCTCTTGCTGAATCCAAAACTGAGGGCAAAACACCCAAAACACAAGCAGGAAGTGCAGACAGCTGCAGTAAAGGGCTGGCAGAGCATCACCAGGGAAGAAACCCAGCATCTGATGATGCCTATGTGTCCAACACTTCAGGCAGTCATTGACTGTAAAGGATTTGCAACCAAGTATTAAAACTGACTGTTTAATTGATGATTATGTTAGTTTGTCCAAATACTTATGAGCCCTTAAAGTCGGGGGACTGTGTGAAGAAATGGTTGTAATTCCTACACGGTTCATACTACATTTTTGAAAAAAGCCTTAAATGAAAGCTGAGAGTCTGCACTTCAAGCACGTATTCATTGTTTCATTTAAAACCCATTGTGGTGGGGTACAGAGCCAAAATGACGACAACTGTATCATTGTCCAAATAATTATGGACCTGACTGTATATATATACACCATCCACAACTTTTCGCAGTGGAAACAGAAAAAAGCGTACCGAAATGAACCATACCGTACCGCCCGGTGGAAACAGGGTTTAAGTTGACCCCCCAGACATTGAACATGGTACCTGATGTTTCTAAATAAATATGTTCACGCATCTTCAATTCAAACCCTGTATGTCCTTCTGACAGCTGTTGGACCATTGTTTGGCCCCTGACACATCTGGAGATGGGACAGGATGTGACAACATGACCTGCATCATCATCACCCTCAGGCCACACCCGTCTACTGCCGAGCCAGATGACACGAAGAAGAGGAAGCACCAGGAGGAGGAGGCAGCAGGAGCCGAGCCGGAGAAGAACGGAAACGACAGCAAAAAGGCTAAAAGTGACTAAAGGCAAAGAGAAACTGTCCCCAGAGGGAGCAGCTGGTCCCAGGCCACCCCAGATACACCAGAGACACACTCTGTTCAAAATTTAATCCTTACCTCACAAACGTCAGCTCACCCTAAAACAGAAATTGCAACGACTATACGTTTGCTCAAAGATCAGCTGAACTGAGATCATCAGTATAGTTTCTTGTCCTCTGTTTTAGGCCGATCCTCACTTCAAAACTCCTCCATTGTCTTTTTTTTTTTTTTTTTAAATTTGGTCTCTCTGGAAAGAAGCTGGACACACTTTTACTTCTTACATTCAGAAGAGGCAGACTCACAGGCATGTTGAACAGTACATCATTTTCCAAGTATTTGTAACTTGAAGGAAGATGCAGAATGAACCAGTCTACAGAGATGAATGTGTATTTCTAAACATTTTAGAGATGTCTCACCATCTCTGCAGACGTGCACCGCACTGTCATCGTTAAAATCTGTTTCCCACGTGGCGGCTTCACACTTCTGTTTCAGTGGTTTGAGGGTAGCTCATGTAGTGACCTGTGTCTGATTGCTGTTCACATTTCTCAGTGTGAAACATGAATTTTCATCGCAGTTTTGCAACATGAAATGTGCACATTACTTTTCCAATGTGAGACTGCACAATGCGCTCTGTGTGTTGTGCCCAAATTACAAGGCATTCATTGTATCTCAAAGTGCCATAAAACCCATGAATTGCTTTCACAGGCACCATTTCACATCCTCGAATTAACTGAACCCAGAGAAGGGACCTGAAATGGATGCAGATAGATGTGCATTGCTTAAAGGTAACAGCAGACAGCGCAGTTGAATGAGAGGATGTTTTTGTGTTTTGTAGCCCAAAATTGAAGATTCCAGACGCAACAAGAGTGAGCGTGCTCGTCCAGTGAGGCTCTGAATGAGTTGCTTTATCTCTGATATCCCACCCTGAGCTTGTTCAAGGTTCACAGTTGGAGGGACTGAAGGATTTGGAGAACTAGTCCAGTTGCTCGTTTGCTATTCATAGATTTTTCCCCATTAGCACCCATTCACAAGTGAGGATAAGTTTTCCCAGTCTTGCTGGTCACATAACAGCCCAATCACCAACAATACATCACCATCATCTTGCCTTTTTTTCCATTCCAGCTTTGTGTCTTGTCTTGATCAAAATATGTAAATTTCCAGATGGAGAAAAGAAGCTAGTGTACTTTTCATCTGTAAGATCTGACAGCAGGGAAACACACGGATACATAAAAGACCTGCCGCCTTTTATGTATCCGCGTGTCCATCCACAGAGGTGGCGATTGAAACCCTGGACTGGATACCCGCACACAGCTCATCTCCAGGACTCTGCTTTCCTCCACCCTGTTTGCTCTACCCCGTCTGTCCCACGTTACCACTGCAACACTTTTTTAAGATCATCTCTAGGACATGTTTTAAGTAAAAAGTATTTCCACTCAAATGTTAAATATTTTTCATTTTCAATGAGTTTTTTTAAAAATATATATAATTTTTGAGGACACTCTGAAAACGCCCCGACGCTGGACTGTGGAGAGGATGCACGCAGTTACTTTTTGAGTGGAAATACAATTTGAAGTTCGGAGCGCCAACACAGTGTAGCTGGTCAGAAAATATTTTTTTCCTTTTTGTCTTTACTTTCAGAAGCCTCATTTAAACCACATCGTGCGACTGTATGTTTGTTTCTAGTGTACTATCTTGTCACCATGCCCTTTTTTCTGTACATAGTTTTTTCGATACTTGTAATTGAAGAAAAAGAAAGTGCTTTTTCTTTGTAATTGTGAGTCAATGTGACATTTTTGGTGCATACTATTTTGACACCAGTATGTAAGTACATACAAATACATTTTTTTAAATAATGACAACTGTGTTCCTGTGTGTTTCTTTGAAAACAACCGATGCTGCATCAGCTCTTAAATCTGAGGATTCAGAGAGGTCTTTTATTGCTCTCTGCTTATATGTAGATTTGATGTCTGTTTGTAGAAACTGAATCAACCTCAAAATTTTTATCAGGCGTAATTTTCCACTGCCACTCAGACAATATTACAGTCCATTGTTGAAAGGGAAGCGTGCTGCTACAGCAGCAAAAATCAGGCTGTTATAAAATCCCTACCATAAATTTCTGTCCATAAAACATGCTTGTTTTTGACACTGATGCGCTCAGATTGTCGTAATGAGTGTCTGATAATATTACAGAAAAGATCATACAGAGAAATTAAAAATGTTTTTTGCCTCATACTGATCTAGACTCTGTGTGTGTAACCAAGTCTTCACATCGTTGAAATCAGCTAAATATTCAGCCATGACATCAAAGATCTTTCAGATAACACTAAAATACATTTTCTGTACTCCCAGCATTCCTCTTTCCAGCTCTCCTACGAGATATCTTGAGCGAGACTTATTCACAATAACAAACAGATCAGCGAAAGGTAAGAAAAAATGTTATCTATGGGGTCCTTTTCATAATGTTTTCTGACACCTATAATAACAATCTGAGCCTGTCAGTGGCAAAAACAAAAACTTTTAATGAACATAAATTGATGGTGTACAATTGCCCCCAGGGGTTTCATTGCAGCATGTTTCACAGCCTTGACTGCAGCCCTTTCACTCAATACTGGACTAATTTCAAAAACTGTTGTCTCCATCCATCACTGGGCAGACAGGGTCCAGATTGAAAAATACCAGTTTCCCTTTAAGATTAATGAAATGGATGGTTGCTTACACCAGTGGTTCCCAACTGGTCCAGCCAGGAGCTCTAGTTTTACCCTTTGTCATTAGTTCGAGATCCACGCAGTTTAATACAGTCAGTGTCATACTTGCGTTTGGCCATGGCGTCGAACTAGTTTGCTGTTCCTGTTAAGTAGCTTTCCATTAGTCACTCACTCTACAGCAGGAAAGGGCACTTCAAAATAAAAGTTCTGTGCCAGAAATTAACTGTACTTAAAATAAAGTGTGTTTTATTTTTACAAACTTGAAATGTTTGCGAGTTACTTGCAGTCCATTCAGAATGGACCCACTTTTGGACCGTGACCCACCAGTTGGGAATCACTGGCCTACACAACACAACGCAATGAATGTATTTTCAGTTGTTTTCCACATACTATGACAAAGTTGTCTAATCATGTTACTGATCATTAAGAATGCTGCCATCACTTCTCAGAGGCCGAATATTAATTACTTTTTACTTATTAAGTACTTTGGTCCAGCACAAGACCTCACTACCACTGAACCACGCTACCTCTTCTACCAGCCAGACTGATGGAAAGCCTGTTTTCAGTAGATAGTACATTTGTGTTCCCCTGAGGATAAGCTCTTTGTTTTATTTGTTTTAGGAGTTTCTGTTTTGTGTCATTTTTCGGGCAAAATTGTGGTGTCTACAGGTCCTTAAAAAGTCTTAACATGTCTTAAATTAAGTTTTCTTAAGATAAGGCCTTAGGAAGTCTTACATTATCTTAAATTCAGATTCGATGGGTCTTAAATATTTTGGGTCACATTACAGCAAAAATTTCTCGAACCTGACAGACCCAATGACTGTTTACAATTATTGGACAGACCAAAGAATTGCAGTAATAAATAGCATTTATGAAAGCGATGAGATTTTGTTTTCTTTATACATTAAACACATTAAACATAAACTCACATACATGTTGTCATTTTTCCTTACTGTTCATTTTGAACTGACATCAGTGGAAAGAGTACTTACACTTATTTCACACACACATCCATATAATGTGTATTTCCATTGTAGGTTTGGGCTTAAATTTCATATATGGTGGTTATAAAAAGGTCTTTAAAAGTGTTAAATTTAACTTGGTTATAACTGTATAAAGTATTAATAAGAAATTGGGAGTTTCCAGAAATTTGAAAAGACAATTTTCATACATACAACACACCACGTTCTATCTCTGAAAGTGGGGATTAAGGTACAGGGAAATGAGAGGAGGGGATATGAAAAATCTGAGTCATTTAAAGGTCCAGTGTGGAGGGTTTAGTGGTATCTAGTGGTGAGGCAGCAGAACTGAAACCTCTTTGTGTGCCGAGTGTGCAGGAGAACTACAGGGGCCGACACAAAAACGTAAATGGGCCTATCTGTTTGGTGTTTTTGCTGCTGAATTCTAAATCACTTTGTGCTGCACTCAGAGCTTTAAAGGTGCGATATGAATAAAGCTGATTAATTCATTCTTTCTGCTGCACACTCAAAGGCCTCTGTTTTGATTGTGAAGTCAGCAGTGTGCTGCCTGCAGAGCTGCATGGATAAACTCCATGTTCTTTGTGGGACAGCTTGTGCACAGACAGTCCTGCAGGTGGCAGCAAAGACTTTTGGGCCAGTTATGCTGATAGAAGCAGGGAGAGATAACCATGTGCCATGAAGGGCAAAAAGTCCTGAGGGTTTCATCCCAACCACAGAGCACAGTTGGTGATTTTACCGACTGACACATACACCTTGAGTCAACAAGGACATACTGAGCAGTAATGATCACATGAAAACCCTCCATGATCACAGTCCTCTCATGAAGACGCAGTGGGAATGTTATACTTTAAATCTCCATAGAAACAGGAAAAGCAAAAAGAGGACAGACTTTAGTTCCCATCAGCCTCGGGGCCTCTCTGTCCTGCCCTGCCATTGGCTGCTGCTCCACGGTCCTGGTGGTTGCTCCGCTCCCCAAGGATCAGTGTTGCTGCAGAAACAATAGAAAGCGAGAGAGGAAACACACCCTGTCCTTGGGATCTAAAATTGTCATCACACACCAGAATACACACATTTTGTCCCTGTCTTTAACAGGAAGGATGTTTTTTTTGTTCTTGTCTGAAGACTAGCAGCTTCAGTGGTGTGTGTGGACACACTGAGTGCACAGTTTATATGTCTGGGTGTTTATCCTCATGTTATATATAAACACAGGCCAAAACACATTTGGGTTTGTGCCCTTGGATGTATAATGAATATGATTAAACTGCTCTGGCTGGACTGCTAACCCAGAAAAAAGACCCATGACTCCCTCTTCACCAGCCAATGAACACATGAGCCGCGGCTATTACCTGTAATATTTTGATTTCTATAATGAATTCCTTGGAAAACCTGTTTGGCTGTTTCTCAAAAGGCCACTGTAGGTAGCTGTTATGGGCTGATTTTTCCCTGCAGTCACTATAAAAACTGGGTCTAAAAGGCTTCCACTATGGAGCTCAATGGCAGCCTTGTCCAGCTGTGTGTGTTGAGGGAGCTGCTTCTGTCTGCAGACTCCTAAACTTGACTGATGGCTGTGGAAGAGAGCCACAGGAGTCCAGCTAGACCTGGCCCTGCAATTGTACATGTATAACAGTGTGTGTGTGTGTGTGTGTGTGTGTGTGTGTGTGTGTGTCAGGTCTTATATAGAAAGCTAGACCACAATAGCAGGTTGTACTTAGACACTGTAAGTATTCATCAAGAGCTTTTTCGATCTCCTGCTCGTGCTCCTAAAACTGCATTGACCTTGTTGCACACACACACACACACACACACACACACACACACACATTCCAGTGGTCACTGTAGTGCAGTTTAAACACTCACTGTGACCAAAAATAGTCACTATATGGGTTTTTTTTTTCTAGCGTTACACATGTTGAATCTCCTTTCCTGTTACTAATGTTGTTATCATTTGCAGTTTCAGTAGCAGTTATGATGGATTATTATAAGTTCAAAAGCATGGACTTAGATGAGGTTTATTTAGTTGTAGCATTTTACTTAAGATGTTGCAGAAGAGAAAATATTAATTTACATATTTCTCTTTTCCAAATGATCTTCAGTTGTTTTTTCAACCCCCAAATCCACATGACACACAAGCACACACAGCTGTACTATTGTGTTTGTGATGCCCCTCACTGACTGATATAATGCATCCCCTAACCTTAACCCTTACCTTAACCTTAATCAATATTTTACACAAACAGTAAGATGAATGGTTATGTGTAATTCCAAAATGTTTGCTCACAGCGATGAACCTACAGACAACTATCATCCACTTCTAGAGTTCCTGTTATAAAGCGTTTTGGTGTCTTTAGAGTCCTTGTTTTGGTTTTCCTGCCCACAACTTCACAGTTTTGTTTCACCTTCACCGCTCTTAACAGCGTTGTTTTCGGCCGCAGCAGGCAGTTAATATCAGGGTGAAAGCTCTAAAAGCACACTGTACTACGCCTACTCAGCACCAAACAACAAACAAACACAGGAAGGTAATCCAGGCAATCCAAAAACAGATATAAATGGGAAGGAAGTATTTAAAAGCCTTTATTATGGAGGCTAAATCATTAAAAGATCCAACATGTCCAAAGCCCTAAAAAGACCTACAGTGGTTGAAATGTGCTGGCTCGTTTAATGATTTAAGTTTTTAAAACTTTTTGTGCCCAAGCCACACCAAGGGGCAAGCCAAAATCTCAAGGCATACCTGTATTTATATCTGTGCACAACAGCTTCTATAATGTGATTTATCAGTCTTATCACATCATTAAAAAAAATAATAAGACAGGTAGCTTTCACGATACTGTCAGCTGAAGGGTTTTTTATTTTCTCTTTCAGTGGTAGGTCGTCTTTGTTGGTCCTTTGTTGTTATTTGCTCCGTAAAATAAAGTGATCCATTGTCCCACTCAAAGCTTTCTCCTTTTAAATGTTATCATCCCTCACACCGGCTGCCAATCAGGGCTTTTGATGGGTCACACATCTCGAATTCCCATGCACGAACAGTGACAAATACGTTAATATTTTCTTTCTCACTTGTACATCTTTGCAGTGCATGGATTCTTCCTGTGTTTCCTGTTGTTCCCCATTTTCCATGAGCACCCGACCTTATGTTTTGATCTACATGTAAGTTTACAGAGAAACCAGTCATTT